TCTGGCGCCGCGAGTGTTAACGCGTCTAAGACGTGGACGCGGAGGTTGACGTTTGCGGGTTATGGAAGTCGAGGAAGTCGAGGCGTTGGACGTTGGTGTTGGCGTTGAGGTTGAGGCGAGGTCGGCGCTGATGGGGTTGGTCGTAGTTTGATAGTCGCACCATTTGCAGATGTTGCATTCGCGGGCGCAGATGTTGCATTCGCGGGCGCAGATGTTGCATTCGCGGGCGCAGATGCTTAATTTGAGATCGTTGCGTCTATCGAGAGAAAAGCATTAGTTCTGGGTTAACGGGGGGACAAGTAAAGATCGAAGAACGAGAAAAATCCAGCACGCGAAAATACGCGCATGCGTTGCTAGGGAATCAAACAAGGGGAAAATCGGAACGAGTGTGTGCTGAATAACTGCAAAGGAGCTCGAAAAGAACGCCACATACCGAATGAAGTCTGTTAACTTTGAAATCGACGCCAGTGTTGATGAAAGATCTTGTGGCGAATCTACAGGGCGAATCATCACGCGTAAGTCGGATGTCGAGAAAGAACAATGTCCGTGAAGTTATAAGTAGAAAGCCAGGATCAACGACGTCATGATGGGTCCAAAATTAATATGACGGACGAGGAGAATGAGGGCAAATCAGTATGAAAGGGGAAGAAGACTAAACTGGGGAAACGAAGAACAAACTCACCTTTACTCTTCTATGCCACACCTGCAGAAACCGCATGCTGGATTTCAACGAAACAGGGGCCGGCGCAGAGGGCCCCGGAGCGTAGCTACAGGCGTTGCAAGTTGGTACGGGGGTGTTGGAGAGTAGGTGTAGCACGATCGCCCATTGACGATGGGCGGAGGGAGTGCATATGTCGGTTGGGACGCCTATATTGGAGAAATTAGGCAGGAGGAACCGGGCGAGGATGTTGCTGGTGGGGAGGATGTCGAGGCGGCGACTACACGTGTGCTGGCGGTAGTGTGAATTCTATATGCCCCGCCCTCGTGGATTGAGATTTACCAGCTCTACGCCAATTTGGCATCCCTCCATAAACGCAGACGACGGCGAGCGATGCCATTTTCCGGCTAAGAAAAAGGTTAATGCCTTGTATTCGATGATGACGACTTCGACTTACTCTTGCGAAGGTAGAAGACCGGCTGCTCACGTATATGACAACGGGCACGAAGGGATATGGTAAGTCGGGCAGTAGCTGAACAAGTATGAAAAGCCAACATCGTTTCGCCCTCCAGAGTGTTTTCTTACCTTAATACCAGAGAACCTTCGTATCCAAGCCTACGTCGAGCCACTCAAATTCATGTTCGAGTCCGTCGTGGTGAATCTCTACGACGAATGGTAAGTTCAACGCCGTCTGTGACGCGGAAAGGCACTTACCTCGGCTATAAAAACCGTTGTATTCTCCGCACTCATGGCGTCTAATAACCAGCAACGCGAATCCTGGAGGACGAGAGTGATCAGTGTGCTGGACCAACGCGACGAAAATGATCTGACAACGAACTGGTTCGGAGACGATCTAACCGCGCAGCAGCGAAGTAGGAGATGGCGGGTGCGGATAAGAGGAGATGCTGAGGACGACGATAGAAGAATGGTACGTTATGGTTCGTTCTCAAGACGATGTATTTCGGCTTACAGCTGGCATCCCTCTCCTTGAACGCTACTCCTAGCCACCTCGTATCTGTATCCACCCTCGAACCCTTTCAACACCCTCATCTCGCGCCAGCCGGCGTCACAACAAAAGTATTGGTTGGCTTCGTTATCCGTTCAGTGTCAGCGGTGGGTATTCTTTCTGCTTGTGGCGGTTGTTCGGGTTGATCTTTTGCTCCATGGTCGCGTTCTCGTGCTGAGAACACTTAATTACGCGGAATTCAAGTCATCCACTTTCAAGATCCTGTGAGGCCGGTCGCGGTATTCGATTCGTGGCATGGGAAGGACATCGTGCGTGGGGGCAAAGGCGAGACCAAGAGTAGCAGCCAGGCTTGAGCCGATCGCCGAATGTCCAGATGAGAGAAAGTTGCGAGGATAGCGTATGAGAGTTTGAGGAATAGAGAGGACGAGTCAAGAAGGGCAGCTCCATAGACGTCGTCGAGAGTATACGAGAGAAACGTCGACAAGCGTGTTGACCTCAACGCGTCGAAATTTGAAACTCCGCCCTTTGGGCTCGTCGGGTAACAATTTGGCCGGCCCGCCTCTGCATAGGGGCCGATCCAAAATTCTGTCCAACACCAGCCCCGTCCGTCTACACCTTGAATATTACACAGGGAAGTCTTCATTTTACGCGCTTGATACCCTCAGAGAAACTCCGAAGTCCTCCCTAGCTCGCCTATATCGTCTTACGGTCTCTGCACCTCCCTTGCCCATCAATTGTACGCTATACTCTGTTTGCCGGCCGTCTCTCGTTACGATTTCCTATGCTATCTACGCCCGTGAACCCCTTTCCCGCTCCTCGTATTGTAGAGTCCCTCACCGCTGTTCTGAAAAGTAAGTTTTCCGCAGAATAAGTCAAAACACACCCGTCAACTCTACCTCCGCCTTCTCCGTCTTCTCTAGCCACACCATTATGCATTTAAATATTGCCATAGATTATAATTGGAGACGGTAGTCCCTGTGTAGCCACCACCTATGTGAAAGCCTAGGGAATACTGGTTGAAGATTGAGCAAGGAAGATTCAGATTACGTAGCTCAAACGTTCCAGCAAGAACAGAAATTGTCGGACAATAAATAAGACGCGGTGGGTGGCGAATGGAGAGTTTCGAGTTTCGAGCAGACACGTCGAGCTATGAGACTCGGAGGAGGAAGTAATAAGACCCAGGAAGAGATCCAATAACGAGCGACTACTTCACGAGACGAGGCCGTTCGTTGTGTAAATGTGAGATCATGTCGATATCGAAGACGCGATACCAGGGAGAGAATTCGGTGCATCCACATTCACGGAGGGTGGAAAACGAGGGCCTGTTGAGTGTGTTTTTTTTTGCGTCTCCGGGCACTGAGGTAGTGCTCGACGCGCCGACAACGGGATCGAGGGACAACTTTATGTAAAACTATCGGAGAGGATGTCCTATAGTTCACGTTCGCCGAAACCGCTACGCGTGTCCTCTTTCTGAGGCTCTGGAAGACTTTGTGTGCAGCGCAGGAGGGGGAACACCAGGATTCGACCACAATCCCATATGATTACCTTTGTGGAACATGCATGTCGTGAAACCCTCTTCCTGTAACTATTAATGACACCATCATCGCCATCCACACTTCCCGGAACGACAATACAGTGTGTCCTGCGCACGGAAAAGGACGAATTCTACATTATGGAGGCCATGGAGCCGCAAAGTCGACCAAAACGGATCCCAGAACCCAGAACCGTGAAGTAAACGTAAATGATAGAAAATGGACAAGGCAAAGACGGACATCCACAGAAATTCACGGCGCTGAGAAGCACTGCACCTTGGGTACGAGGAATCGACGTTGACAGACCACAAATCCCAGAGTAGAGCAAAGTAGGGGAAGAAAGTTGCGAGTCACGAAGGGTAGTCAGAGTCGACTGAGAGCCGTAGATTCTAGGTTAATGGAAGTCGAGAAAAATATCCCCGACGTGCTTAGGATGGGGGTGACGCTCGCGTACGTGTATCGAGCGTTCGATATTTTTCCGGGGCTGGGATCAAGTTTATAACATGATCGTTCAAGGCAAAGGCATATTCGATAGGCAATATGCCGACCCGAAACCAGCCCTTACGCACCAGTTTCCACCACGCAGACCACGGAACAGAGAATATGAGAACGGTCCAACACGTCGAGAAGCACGATCGACGGGGAGGAAGAGTCCTCAGTGATGAACAGTGATCGCGGTGGTGGATGACGCGAAGAGGATTCGGCAGATGTTTCACGGTATAGATGCGCGACGCGATAATGGAGAGTAATGCGCCACGTAGAAGTTGCTGGAAGTAGGGCTAGGTAGTAAGATGCCCGTGGCTACCTGTGACGATGGCGTTGCACGAAACATCGGCAACACCCAAGGAAAAGCGCGAGAACACTCATTCACCTCGCAGCACACAGCTGTAGGTCATAGACAGACGTAGGCATGAGAGTAAGACGACCTATCAATCGTCGTAAATCTCGGTATGATCCCAGTGCATGACGGGGCGGATGGGAAGAGAGGGCGAAAAGTAAAGAGAAAGACGAGAACGCAGGGATCTGGAGAGCACGCTACGCCTTGAGTGAGATGAAGGTGAGGAAGGGATGCACTCACAAAACGAGGGTTTCAATCCCGAAGTATGACTGAGCATGGGTCGCCAAGCCTCAAATCACCACGTTTTAGCAAGGCCATCCTCGTCATCTGGCGCGGGGAGACGAGGGCTGAACGAGTTACTGCCACATGATGCACTGTAGAGCACCACGCGTCGCAAGCTATCGACGTCCACGATAACGCTGAGGATGGCTTTACCTATGGCGTGATCGAGTAGGGTAAGCTCGGATGGAAGGATGCGGATGAGGAGCGAGACAGGAATAATGGAGAGAAGGAGCAAGGTAGAGACGTGGAAGGTTGCGGGGAATACGTGAAATATCGCCAGAGTTGGTAGGCTAAGCGGAATACTTACCTAGAACCCATGAAGTCCGATTGGTACTTTCGAATCATCGCCCGTGGTCTAAACGAAAGAGTACAAAGCTAAGAGTACGAGCATCCTCCTTCGGATCCATCCACATGGACCACACACGAGCAAGCAGTTGAATTTACCTCGAAAAGCAGTGCTTGCTTTCGACGTTCATGCCCCCGCTCCTGTGGGCGCAGTCGAGGCGGAAGGGAACTTGAGGTTGGAGAACCTGCACAGGATTAGATGTTAAGATGGTAGGTAAGAGATAGATGGAAAGAGACCCCGGGATCGCCCAATGCTGATCGTATGGTGGTGGTAAGTAGCAGAAGAGGGGAAGAGTGTCCGGAACCCGTGTGATGACGGAGATAAGATAGAAAGATGATGGAGATAAGATAGTAAGATAATGAGGAGCCATCGCCTTTCTTTCTTCTACTACTACCACTGGGTCTATGCTGTACTATTCATTCAAAACCCTACGTACGTATTTCTGCTGAGCCGCAGTATTTGCCCACCCCCTCTGGCAATTTCTTTGCGAATGGCTACACTCTGCGGATCCTGATCCTACCCCCCGAGTTCTCAGTGTCGTACTCATCGCCCAGGTCCACGTCACAGCTCGTACCCTGCTAACCCGTTTATTCTCGTGGCCATTCCTCACCCGTGTCGGTCTCTGCAGCTATTTCTGTGGCCTTTCACTCATGGACGTTGCTCATCTCACGGCTTTGGATCGCCGACTACCTCTGAAACTCCCCATATCAGAACTCATATCGCTTTACGATCCACTGGATACGGCACCCACCATCGAACATCCCCCTCGCAACGCTAAAACTGGTTTTGGTTTTATATGAACGAGATACCAGTGACAAATCGCGCCGCCGCCTTCTCTACCTCGTGTTAGTCTCTCGCCGCCTCCCCGTATACCCTTATCCTCGGTAACTACCGCTCCAAGATCCGCAGACCACAACTCCGAACGCGTATCATGAACTCACATCTAGTCATGCTCTATCAACTCCGTTTCTTTGCGAAAACCTCCGTGGTCCAAGTCCACGAGCACGATGACCACTGTCGCCCTGCTACCAATACTGGCCGCGTGAATACCTAGTCTAGAGGTCTCTCAATCGGACATACTCTATCTCCTTCCGCGGTTTTACTCGAGGTGAAGAAGCACGCTCGATATCATGCTCGTCTCAGGAGCATCTTTTTCTCCCACATTTCTGGAGAACATATCACGTACCACTGACAAGTACAAATCACCTCATCTCCCCCGCCAGCGGCATCGCCAAATGATGCCACCAGTTCCCGAGATCCCCCGTGGTGCGTTTGCACATCGCATCACGCAGTGTTCAGAGGTTCTCGTGTAAGCTGAAGTCATTTTGGCGATGCAACTGTGCGCAGGCTCGGTACTACTGGGATTTACGGTCTGAACGCTTACGCCTGCGTATGTTTCCGCACGATCAAACCCTTCTCCGTGCGCTTTATGCCTCCCGCCTCCTGTCTATCGTTTCGCATCTGCCTGGTCACGACATTCTTCCGATGCCGAACATCGAGCCCTTCAGTACTTTCGTTTCTTCCTCAGATTCAATCTCGTCAACAGCTTATGTACTCGTTCTATAACACCTCTAAGGTGTCCTCATTTATCATACTTGCCCTCCCGCTGCCGGAGACCGTCATGAATGCATGGCCACGAGCATCGTCTCATCGCCTAACGAGACTGAATCCTACGATCAAGGAGCTTCGTTCCCTTGGTGCCTTTTTCGTTCGGGTCGTTCCTAGATATTTTCGTACTGGCCTGTCGTACTCCTGACACTTTTGAAGCTTCAATAACGCGGGGAAATCCTGGTTTGTGTCCCAAACTTCGATGGGCGCTTGAATTCTTCTTCATGCTTTGAGAATTCGCGCCGACTGGTTTTCTTAGGTCGCCCTTTCGCAAAAACTTGCACTTGGGGGAGTTATCCTCGCATTTGCTATGATTGTAGTAGAGAATGAACTCATCAGATTCCGTACCCTAAGAAACCTTAGGAACATCAAGAAATTGTCACAGGATCGTATCAACAAGAGGCACTTTGAGCCTAGAATAACCAGACGAGATCTGTTTCCAGCAATGGTCTATGTTCGACTTCTCGACGGAAAGTACTTGGTGATAAAGCCTCCTGGTCAAATAATTCAAGTGGGTGAACCGTAAAACCACCATTAGAGCGCTTAGGACTGTTCCACCTGTCAACACAAGTACGCAAAGCTCGTGCATTAGACCCTTCACTCCCGATAATCCAGGGAGAAGACGATACAATCGTCAATCAATAATAGAGCCCAGCTCTGTTCATCTGTTGAATATCATCTTGCTCGAGATCATATCTTTATAGAAGTAAGAAATATATTCGAAGCTACCAGCAGAATCTCTATGGCGCTGCAACCATCGACCTGAAGGATCGAGTGGTCATAAAGGTGCGTACCTCTCGATCTATTTCCCCCTTTTTACCCACTCTCTCATCCTTCAGTCATGGTCAAGCAGACTTTTGACAACGCCGATCCGCGCCTTATCTACTCTGGTTTATGGAAATCTCTCGATAAGCAACAGGGCGCCTACAATGACACCCTTTCATTAAGCACCCATGCTGGCGACACAATTTCTGTCAACTTCGATGGTGCGTCCCCCGAATTACCGTTCCTAAAGCCAGTTAATAATTCTTCGTCCAGGAGTCTCGATCACGGTCATTGGTAATGTGATACCACCGGACGACCGCCAACCCACGCCGAAGTCTAGCTATGCCATCGACGGAGAGCCCTCGTTCTTCACATTTGTACCATCTAGTTCTTCGGAACCAGAGTCCGGGAAGACGTTCTTCACCTCGAAAAGACTACAGCGCGGGATACATAAACTTTTGATCACAAATCTAGTGGATGATGCCCCTTATTTAATCGACTATGTAACCGTCACCGAGGGCAACGGATGGTGGTCCTGGTGGCGGAAAGATGATCCCTCAAGGAAGCAATTCGGTGCGTCGTCGCGAGTCGGATGACGCTGAGGGTTTTTTCCTGATTATGAGCCCGGTTTTCAGACGGGAACTTCCGCACGCAAAATATTCAATCCTCTTCCAAAACACTACCGTCGTCGACAACGGTTCCACCGAGCATTTCATCCGAGACTTCCTCAACATCTGCTACACAGGAAACTGGGAACAGAGGTGTTGCCACCTCTGCCGGGACCATTTCAGGGGCCGTGATAGGAAGTATTATCGGGATCATATTCGTCGTATTAATTATCCTGGCCACTTGGCGCCACTGTAGGAGAGAAGGTATTGAGAGAAGTTCAGGTGAAAATCAGTTCGCTCCGTCTCATGAATTATGTTCAAATAAACACCCGTCTTCACAGGCAATTATCTCGCCCGCTCTGGGACCAAAGAAAGAGAAAGCTCGCTGCGCAACTTCTTCCGCCCGCAGCCACCACCGACGAGGCTCCCCACGGAGACCGGATCTATCTCCTACAAGACGTGCAGCAGTTATCACTGGAGCCCGTCTGAACTCAATCCAGATCGGCTCCCGCGTAATATCAGCAGTGTGGGTACTGCGAGCCGCTCTCGCTTCGAACCCTCAAGCGTCTCCGAGAAAGACTGGCGCTCTTATGCTGGTTCAACGACAGAAACCGTCTCCTCGACCTCGTCTAGCCACCTTTCCTGAATGAATGAAACGGTTACATACTTGACAAACGGCCATTCTAGTATAATTTAGAAGATGTTCTATTACGTCCATAGGGTCGCCCATACGCATATACTGTCTGATTTTCGTCCTTTCTATGGGTTAGTTGACTAAAGACCTTCATTTTCTGCCCGGTAGTTTTCTTCTGAATAGCTCACTAGGAATTGCATGAGCCTCGTTGTACCTGTCTCTCTGATGGAAGGCGCCGTCATTCGGGCTTTGTCATTATTTTCTGCTTTGAAAGGCTACACGAGAATGTGCCTTGAAAGTTAGCGCCAAAAAGCAAGCCATTCGGCGACTGTAATATTGTGTAAGTATCCTTCTTCTCCAAATTCACGATGCCCAAATGCCTATCGTATATATTTCAGATAGTAATCGTCGTCGTTGACACTCGACTGCTCGTTATCTCGCGTGCTTGCCCGTGGCTGTGTCTCTGCTGAATGGCGGCTCCCACGGGCGCTTTCTCTCTTCGTCGTCAACCACCACCACGATCGGTAACCGCCTTGCCCATTCGACTCAGATTCAACATTTCGTTTCGTCCACGCGGCGAGCGCAGCACGCCATTATGAGGAACAATGCACATTTTGTTCATAAGGATCCGCGAGACAAAACTGCGACGAGCTCACGTTCGTCGCGCCTGCGTGAAAGGTATGTACGTCGACATTCCGATCTTTCATGATGTTTACCGTCGTCCTCCAGCTCTACCGCCCTTGATATCACGCCCCTGGAAAGACTGCGTGCCAGCCCTCAAGATTCGTATTATGATGTCCACTTTAATACCTATCTGCACGCGAACCTCTCGCTGGTGGAACACTGATGCAAGGCCTTCGACTGTACATCGACACTGGCAGCCAGGAACGTAGGAGGACCTCCAGGAGTAGTGGGGTTTCGTGGAGAAGTTTACTGGGATTGGGCAAAGTACGTTCGTTTCTTTATTTTACTGCTTTCGTCGTCTCACTCTTCTTCCAGCTACATCCGACCCCGGTTTGGAACTTCTCCCGAACGTCCTCACCCATTCCTCCTCTTGTCGCATCTCCACCCAGCCTTCTTGCTTCCCGGCCCCACCATCTCAGTTGCTGCAAGGTTTCAAACATTACCTTTGCCCAGGGCCCTCGGTCTCAATGAATGTGTGTCAATTCGGTGTCGCAAATAGTACGAAGGTAAGTTCGTATCAGACCATTATCTTCACCAGATAATATTTTACTCCTGGCTCAGGTTCTATCTCTGGTATCCACCTCTTCTTCATTGCGCTCGGCAACTTACCCAGACACTGAGCTAGGTACGTACGCATTCCGTTCTTTTCGTTCGTGGCCATATCTTGCTGGCAGTTCGCTCGTAGTTTGAGCTTTGAGCTTGACATTCTGCTCGTCTGTTCGAGTCAAGAACTATTCACTCAATTTGCGAATTATCTCGCGCCATGGTACGTTTGAGTCATCACATTTTGAGTTCTACTGCACCTACGCGTCTTTCCAGACGGTTTCGCGGCATTTCTCGACGCCAAACCAACGTCGCCCGGGCTGGACTTCCGTCGTCCGCCATTCTCATCGATTATCCCACTTGACACGCTCATGTTCAGCATTACCCCCTGCATATAATTACCCCCCTCTATTCCACTCGACGGCATCATCATTCAATACGGTGTCCCATGGAGATCATCGAGCGGGATATGGGAGGACTTCGGCGAGGGATGTAGAGGATGATGGACGCGGACTATCTAGCGTTCGGGCGGGGTGAATGATCGCCAGTAGATGCTTAGTTCTATTATATTTTATTGAAGACGAGAATTTGCACTGATCAGGAGACGCTGTCCATCCATTGTACGATTCTCTCGACAATCCATGTCAGTCAGGGCGTCTAACGAGTGTCCAAGTGTTTGACTCGGTCAATATTTTGATCAATATTCATTCAAGCGTAATCAGATTGAAAACGAAATTATATTTGTTCGTTCTAATATACATGTGTTTAGGTGATACGAAGCTACTCTCCCATTCCCTCGTCGTGGGTCCTCGTCTTTGTCTGGGCCGTACACATGGGCTGATACTATCCCTCCGCTCGCTACGGCGGCTTGGGGATGAGGGGAGGAGAGACCCCAACTCGACGCCGACGCCTCATCCAGCGAGGTACTTTGAGTCATGCTCATCTTCATCCGCGTCCGTGTCTCAATCCGCGCCCCCAGCTGATCCTGGTGGGAATGAAGATGCCGACGTCGGTTCTAAGCTTGAACCTGAGGACGAGAGCGTCTGTGCAAACTCTAATCCCTCGGTCGGGCCGGATAAGTCGGATTGGCATACACAGACTATTTCGACAGGGCTGGAGCAATCGTTGACAAGACAGAAGAGGTTTGCGACGTTACGAGTACGCCGAACCTCCCCCTCTGACGGCTATGAGTATCTGCCCAGCCGAGATCCTCGCCTCACCCAAATTTATCCTATGCTCCAGGTCGTCCCAGGTTCGAACCGGGGTACTTCCCTCGGTGTCGTTGAATTTGTCAAGAAGTTCGTCAAAAAACCGACCTGCGCCGCTCATATGCAGGACGCCAGCGACAGCAGCATGTATGGCGAGAAATCGCGGGTCGGGAGAGCTATTGATGCTGTCTCCCTTTTCTTGTTGTTCTCGGTGGTGTGATCTTTGCTATGGTCCCGGAAGGTGATGTAAGGGTTGGAGGCAAGGTCGGGCCGAAATCTGAAAAGCACCATCTTATCCCTGTAGAACTTGAATTTATATTTATTTTCTTCCTAAAACCCACGAGGTGACGAGGTCAGCACGAGATATCTGTGCTGGAAGCGGCCGAACGAACCTCTGTTGGATGGAGGCACCACCAGAACCTATCAAACGAGGCATGTACGTTCGGTTCCTGCATAAAGACATTGGATGGTTGATCGAGAAGCAGCTTGAAGTCTTCCAGGTCATCTAACTTCAGGCGACCAAAGTTGACAAGGATGTCAAATATAGCTACCGCGGATTTGTGCTGTTTGCGATTAGCATACATATAAACAAAGTATCGGAATAAAAACTCACACTATCTTTGTCAAAGTGACCAAGAGCATGACGCAGGATGTGAGTGCATTCCAAGATAAGTTCTCCACCGTCCGGATGGGCTATATCTGCGAAACCAGTCACGACGCACTTATAGCCATCACGAAGAAGGAGCTATTGAACGGGTTCCAATGAGCGCACATTTTCAGGCATATAGCAGGAATGAATACCCACGTCGTCTCTGAGACTGCCGGTTCGATTCCTGTGCCCATCCAGGATGTATTGCGCCGTAGTCTCCATCGTGGGTGTGGCGATGGGGCTTGGGAGGTTGGGTTGCTTGCCGTGTCCATAATTTGCTCTCACTAGCAGAATCAGAATACGGTTCGACGTGAAATACGGCGCACTCACTGATGAATAGAAAATGTGTCACCCATGTCAACGTCACTGCCACCAGGTTGGTAATGTTGCCTTCGCAGGCCACGATCCTTGAAGCAACATACTTGACGCTGTCGTTGCCTGCAACAGCTGGAGCATGTTCCAGCATGGATTCTGCAACCTTATCGAGTGATAGAGTCTCCTTGCAGAACGTGAAGATCCTCTCTTCGCGGGTGGAGAAATCGGCGATGATCTGCTTCGCTCGCTCGACGAGCAGGTCGAGTTCCGTGGCCTCTGCAACTTGTCTGGACTGCTCTTGAAGATCCGAGTACAGTTCAACGGACCTTTGAGAGGTCATGCTCTCGATAGAATCTGTGCGATTATGGGACATGGTGGGTGGGGATTTAGTGGTTGTTCTAAGCGTAACTGATAAGTGTGACTCGCGTGATCCCATGCACGTGATGTTCGGACAGACGAAGTCCACGGCCACAGGGGCCAAGCCAGCCCACTCCTTCGCGTTTCAATTTCAAGAAAAGCTCGAAGGTGTTCGGCTACAGCGATATGTAGTAGACAACTGAAGTACCCGAACATAAACGCGCAGACAGCTCCGAGTGACCGAGTCTCCGAGTCGTAGTCGCGTCTTAAGTTTTAACCAAGCCTTGACAGCCTCAACAGCCTCACACCTATCAGGAGATGCTGTCCATCCATGTACGTTTCTCTCGGTAATCCATGCCAATCAGGGCGTCTAACAAAAGTGTTCGTCTCGGTCAATATTTTAATGCGCATTTAAGCGTAATCAAATTGAGAACGAATGAAATTAAGTATATTTGTTCGTTCTAGTACACATGCATTTAGGTGATGCGAAGCTACTCTCCCATTCCCTCGTCCTGGGTCCTCGTCTTTGTCTGAGTCGTACGCATGGGCTGCTGTGAGGGCGGCTTGGAGATGAGGAGAGGAGAGACCTGAGTCGACGCCGACGCCTCATTCAATGAGGTATTTTAGTCGTGCTCATCTTCATCCGCGGTGCCAGCTGATCCTGATGCGAATGAAGATGCCGACGTCGAATCAAAGCTTGAGCTTGAACATGAAGACGAGAGGATCTGTGCGAACTCTAATCCCTTGGTCGAGCCAAACAAGCTTCGCATTGTCACGGGCGACGAGCCATGCTCAATCAAACCAAATCATGGCACAAGACGGAAGTCAATAAGGAGGCCAAAGAGACGACATGAAGAAGAGTTGGACGGACGTGAAGAGCGTTTCGCACTCCCTGGCCTAGCTTCTGGATTACTAGCCTCCCCGCCACGTATCCAACGCCAATCCTCCACTTTCTCCTCTTCCTCTCCTCCCGCCCATACCGTTGTTGATAAACGTATCCAATCTCGAGAAAGCATTGCCACATGTGACGTTAAAGCACACCAGGCCCATTGAGACGCTCAGGCGTGCTCTTGACGCAGATTCCTTGGATACGACGAGCAAGCAGTGGGCGGGTTGCGAGCTTAGGGCGTTGAGGGCGATTGAGTGGAGGGTGTCTTCGGAGTAAAGTGTAGCGGGGTCGATCAACGCACCGCAGTCGGCTCCGAGGGGGTGAGGTTGAAAGTGGGTTGAGGAGACGGTGGCTACGATGAACCGGAGAAGAGATGAATTAGCGACATTCGGTGGAGGAGACGAAGGAGAGAGATTCGATGGTGATCGGAAGAAAAGAAAGCGAATAATAGAAAATTAAAACACGAAGGCGAAAAACCGGAACAATAGCACAAGCAGACCCATGGAGACGATAAGGGTTCGTCGATCAGAAAAATGGCGAACGAGGGTACAGGGATTAAAGGACAAGATGACGGGAAGAAAACAACGAACAAGGCAAAGGTAAGAACGAGATGGAAACCGAAAGTAAAAATAAAAGCGAAGAACGCACGAAAACTTACTCGAGTACCCCTTACCCCTCTCATCGCCGGCAATTTTCAACTCGCCCTCGAACCTTCTCCTGACATCCGAATAGATCTCCCTCAACGGCAGAATACTCGATCTCCCCCCCTTTCCTCCTTTTCGCCGCCCAGGATTGCAAGTGTGGACTTCAAGGCCGTTGATAATGGAGGTGACGATGCTGATTACCACGAGGGCGAAGAAGGGACGCTGACGTTGGCGTCGGCGATGGAGATAGACATAGCGAACGCCAGAGTTATGACATCCGCTCAGTGTCGATATTCAACGTCAGCTCAGCAACTACACTCTCCATCTTGTCTGCGACGCAGGATACCACCCCAGCACGGCTGGCTGGGGCGTAGAACCTAACGTATTCGACCTTGGGCCCTTGCTCATCCTCGACCGGTTCGCGAGAGAGGTGGTGCAGGTCGAGGAGGAGGCTGAAATTGATGTGCTTGCGCCGCTTCTCCTCCGAGGCCGATCCTGATGCTAGAATCAGCGTCGAAGACGGGGAAGAAGATACCAGCCCCTCAGTCGAGTGTACGAGATTCGAGTCACCGCGGGAGTTGATCCACTGTTAATCAACGTTTGAACGTAAGTAATGCGGACGAATGAGATAGAAGAACGTATAAACGCACGTAAAGAGCCCTGCCTCTCGTCTCCTGCTCTTGCTTCTCCTGCCCAATTTGCCCATGGTGGTTACGACCCACATCTCCCTCTACCTCTTCACGTCCAGCACTCGCACCCATACCCATCTTGCCGGTGCCACGTATCCTGCTCAAAACCCCTTCGTTCCTATCCTCCTCCTTCCACCCATCCTGGCGTTGACGAACGTACCCAACCTCGAGCAGCACACCCCCACCATGCGCTACGTCAACATCGAGACACACCTGTCCCATCGTCACACTGCTCGGACGTGGGCCCGACAGGAACTCCATGGAGACGATAAGCTGGAAGTCGGCGTCGACGACGTTGAGGGTGCTGAGGATGTTGAGGGTGTCGAAGGCTTTGACGTCGTTGAGGTGCAGGGTGTGTGCGGAGAGAGGTGTGGCGCGGTCGATGAACGTGTCGGGCTTGGCTTCGAGAAGTTGAGGCTTGAGTTGAACGTTGGGTTGAGGAAGTGCAGGTGATAAGGGCGACAACGGCGAGCTGGAGAGAGGAAGGTGAGTCAGTCTCGCGGACGGAGGAGAGCAAGGAGGAGGTTCAACGACGGTGGCAGAAAGGAAGGCGAACAATCGAAATTCAAGATATGAAAAAGAAAAAAGAAAAGAAAAACCGAACAACCGAACAACGCTACGGACACGAACAACGATGGGGACGATAAGAGCATCCACAACGCGAAAACGGCGTCCGAAGGCGACAACACGAAAGGAGACGACAGACCGAACAGAAGGACGAGGTTGAAAGCAAGAATGTAAAAAGAAAACACGAAACGAATGAAAACTGAACAACGACTTACCCAAGCAACTCCTGCACCTCTCGACGCCCAAAAGCATCCTTCTCGACCGCCCATCCTTCCACATCCTCAACCTCCTCTCGCCGCCCGAAAGGATCCTTTTCTACCGCCCATGGCCCGACGTCTTCAAGTTGCTCTCGACGTCCGAAAGGATCCTTCTCTACCGCCCACAACTCGAGGTCTTCAATCTGTTCTCGGACCTCTTCGCGACGCCCAAATGGGTCCTTCTCGACAGCCCACAGCTCAACATCCTCAATCTCCTCCCTCCCATAAAGGTCCTTCTCCACCGCCCACCCTGCTAAATCCTCGATCTCCTCCCTCTTCCTCTCCTCCTCCCTCGTCGCCACCACCCCCGTCTCCGGGTCAAAATCGAACGCGACCGCCTGCCCCGTCGAGTTAATCCTCGTATTCATCGTAATCAACACACTCCTCCCATCGTCCCTCACTATGCTGATCACCGGAAACCCGATGAACAGACATAATAACGCGAGTAACAACAGCATGATCGCGGAGACGTTGATCAGGCCGCGCCATGAGAGGTGAGAAAGGGACGAGAAGGGTGCGGAGGAGGAAGAGAGGAAGGCGAGGTGCGGCGGGTAGGGCTCGTACACTTCGCCTGCATAGACGCGGCGCACGCTGTGTTGGGAGGAGGTCGAGGGCGCTTTCTCCTTGCCCTTGCCGTTGGAGGAGGAGGATGGGGTGGACGAGGACGTGGCGTCGCTCGATCTCTTGCCTGCTCTCGCGGAAGCCTTGGTCCGTCCACGAGTATACGGAGGGGGCGGGTAGTCGAGGTCGTGTAGCGGGTCCGGTTCGTCGCCCTCTCCGTCGCTGTCGTCCTCATCCGGGTCGTATGCGTAATCCACCAGCCCTCCTCCGCTCCCGACACCTGCTTGCGGATGAGGAGATAATAAGCCCAGGCCAACGCCGAAGCCAAGGCCGGCAGGATACTTGGAATCGCTGCCCATTGAGACGATCGAGTCGCCGGACGTTGAGTAGACCGAGGCGCGGTTGAGCTGGGAGAAGGATGGTGGTGGGAGGAGACCGCCGTCTTCCGTTGCTGTTGGGGGCGTTGTACCATGATTGAGAGGAGAGGAGCCGGAGGAGAGGGAAGGTGGGAGAGACTGGGCTGGAGAGGGCGCAGATGGGTCGGGGAGGGCAACGCGGTACAGGATCATCGATCCACGTGTAGGGAGGGCGGGGATAGAGCCTGCTGTTGACGAGGGTGTTGCAGTCCCGACTCCGGGCTGCTCCTGTCCACCCCAACTCAGCGCTCTCAACTCTTCTGATGCCAATCTTGCGAGATATGTCGATCTCCTTCAACATCCTCTCCCGCTCGCTGAGGTCGATGTTGGTGGGAGAAAAGGGAATGTCGAAATCAACGGCTTCGTAGTCCTTCACCCACGAATCCGGGCGTGCCATTGGTTATCGCGGCTCTTGGATCTGGGTCCCTCGAGAAGCTGGGCGTGGGGAGGTTAGACGAGGAAAAGGGTGATGGAGATCACTGACACGATCGATCTTCTCGCTCCCGTTGGCCGTGGGGTGTTGGGTCGTTGGGTCGTGTCCGAGTTCAACTTTGATGAGATTGGACGAAGAAAGCTCAAACAGAGGACGAAGGAAAGGAGGGGAAGAACGAGCACAGGAAGGAAAGAGGGTAGCGGGCAGGACACCCACGAGCACGGCGACGACGAAGAGGGCGGAAAGAAAGCAGCTCGCCGCTGTCGACCTGTTTTATGACAACAACGCCCGTCACGCCTCAACGCAAGTCACGCATCACTGCTTCAGTCACGCTTATCCTCCCGCACCGCACCGCACTACGCAGACACAGAAAACGCGGACCTGTGCGTGTGCATGCATCCCTTCAAATAATCTTACACGCTGCGCACGTCCTAAAAGACATAAACTGGGCCCGCGATAACCCAAAATACTTCGACGATCGCACAATGGACGATTTCTTTCTTGCCCCAGGTGGGGGACCGAAACTGGCGCCCAATTGTCGTTAACTGCGCAGCCTCTCGCCCCGAAACTCTCCTCTTCGTATCTAATGTCTTACCTGCAATACTCTGTGCAGGTTTATATGGTCTAACCCATTTCGTCTAATCGTCCTGTCTCACTCGTCCGCAAACCATCCGCTCACGCCTCGTTCTGTGCACGCCGTCGGACATGGCGCGAAGACATAAAAGACATGGCTTGCGGCGTTACACGCTTTGTCTTCCGGATATACTCTGCGTCTACTTTCTTATTATGCTCTAGGTCTGGACGTCGTCTACGGGTTTCTTTCGGCGAGTTATCTCGGTCTCAGATGTTCTTCTCGGTCAATTATTGGGTACTTTCATGGCCAGCGCTCGTTGTATCCCCCTTAGAGCTCATCAAATCACTCGACGTTCAACTGTCTCGTTATAAATGTTGTTCTGTGCGTTGCCCTGTACCCCACTGTTAACTTCCCCGCTCATCACGATTTCAGCGCTGGTGTATATTCTAACGAGGCTGGATTATCACCACGATTATCTCCTGCGAATAGTGTCTATTGTCCCCATTGTCACCTCTCCCGGACCCACAAACGTCAACATCCAGCTCAAAGTTCATATCTACCACTACTAGTGTCTGACACCGGTAATTTGACCGCCTTCGGTATCGACGTACTTACCCGATAGACATCCGCTCGACAGGCGACGCACGACGCGCATAATTAACGCACATCACCGCGTCATTAATTCATAGATCAGCCGCTGCCCAACATCCTATACTTATGTCTTCTCTACTCCCATTCGCAGACACCTCGAGGTCGGGGCTACATGAGTAAGTAGATCCTGGATCATCGGAGGCTCGGACTCGGACCCGGACTCGGAGAATAATCTTCTCCACCAGGACGATCTTTGGCTAATTTTGAAGCTCGAGAACGCTTACACCGTGAGGCCTTGAGGGCCGAAAGGATGGAAGAACGTGTAGGCCTCATGCCTCTTATCTGAAATCTAATCTCCTCACTGATTCCACAAGTAGGACACGACCCGCCATCTTCACAGCTATACTACTTAACTCTCAACTTCATCTCCGTTGCTTGCTCTCATCGTCTCTCGACGTTTTCCTGAACATAAACCATCTGTCCAACCGTCCCTTCACATCTTCCGTCCAACATCGCTATCGTAGCATCGAACACCAGACACACGAGCTCGGGCGTCTTTCCCTCTTTATAACCCGCGATACCTCGAAACGCTGAACGGTCGAAAACCCATCCCACCTTTCTATCGTCGTGTTAAGTCGTGGGTCGATGACTCGAGCTCGAGTTTGTCTCTGGATGGTGCACGATCATATCCTTCTCTTCTCTCGTCTGCACCCTAGATCCCTGTTCGTCCTCTATCCTGTCCGTCGTCGTCGTCTCGCACACACTTCTTTCCCCACCACCACCTCGATAAATTCGATCGATAACATCACCGGGCGTCCTTGGACTTCTCTGAGCAGAATATACGTCCTGACTGGACCTCCTTCCCTTGCGCGAGGGTTGAAGTGGAGATACTAGAGATTCCGTCGCTTTCTCATCTCCCGAATTTGCTCTGAGAAAGAACATAGACCCTGGGCTCGCTCTGGTGATGCTACAGATGGATCGAATTTTCGTACTTCGCGTGCCAATTCTCCGTTCGATCGTTCAACTCCCAAGATGCGGAACGGACTACATCTAAGTACACCTATATTCATATGACCTTTTCTCCGCCGAAGACGGTTCATACTCGACGAAAATTCACTATAAAGATCCTGGCGGACTGGCTTCAGATAACTCCCTTAGAGTGCAAGTGTAGATTTTAGATCCGCTCGTGAACAGGTAGTTCTCGCGCGAATACGAACGAGAAGGGTTTGCTTTCCACCTACTTGATCTAACGCCCTGGAATCGTGTCCTCTCGTCTTCGTGCTCTACTAGTTCTCATTTAAATTTACTCGCCTCCCCATACGGTAAACGGTCCTCTCCAACCTTCCTATCTCTCGTTCTTGGTCATCTTTGCATGCCGTGGTCGTAGACTGTTTCTTTCGGCGATTCATCTTTGTCTCGGTCGTTCTCCTCGGCCAATTATTGGGTATCTTCACGGTCATTGATAGTCCCGAAAATATCCGTGAAACTTGCGGCGTGTTGGGCGGGGCCTGATTCACTTCTTCGAGTTGGCTCTGGGCTTGTGCTGTCGTTCTGCCTCTCCACGTCGGTAGCTGGCCGTTGTTCATACATGGACCATTTCTTCGGTTTATACTCACCTACTTCCAGAACAGTGTAGTACCATCCTACTGCATAGTATGCAGCGCTAACGCTATGTAAAGGCTGAAGGAGAGTTCGCTATTCGGAATGTGACCCGTTTCGAAGAGTTCCGAGCACCAGTGAGGACCAGCATGCCGCGTAATCGAACAAGCGCCTTATATTCAATTAAATTCTTTCTACCGACTGGTGTCACCGACTTGAGCTATCCATGAGACGCCGTAGCAAAAATCGATCGCCACGGAGAGAAACGGCGGCAGAGACGCTACTGAAAGAACGTTTCCCAGTAAATGAACTCGCCCTCCTTCGTCCGACGCACAAGCTCAGACATCTGGTGCCTCGCCTCGACCCCGCTGAAGTCCAGTTCATAACGGGCGGATCCGACAGTGGGTTCATCAGCTTTGAGCTCCACACTCCGTGTGTAAGAGAAGCGAAGAGGTTCTAAGGACGAAGGACATGAATATGGGACCAACGGCGGGTTAGTGAGCAGAGAGCGAAGAGGACGAGTTTATGTAGATCTGATCAGCTCTCACGACGCCGAAGATCTGATCCAAGTTTGCGTCGACAGAGACAAGATGATAAGAATGCCGGAGCACAGATTCGCTCTCAACATCGAGGTAGGACCTCTTCTCTCCGGAAGAGGAGGCTGCCATCATGGATCTCAGTTCGTCCCGTGCGAGACACGCAGACGCCGGGTTTTACAGGACTGCTACACCGATAAGCTATCAACATCGAGCAACGACTAGTGTGCTTGAGCTGCGTTGCCCACAGGAGGAGTTTTCAAAGCCGGCATCTGCGTGTGAGGTAGGGTACGACCATTAACAATAAAAGGGGGTGAGCGTTGGAAGAGTGTTGACCAAGGTTCGCAGAGGCTGACGCCCTGCAAGTCCGAGCGGATGATTGTCTGCCGATTTCGCGAGAATAAGACCGAGAAGACCGTGGCGAGCTTAGGAAGAACGACTCTGGACGAAATGTTGTGGGGGGTGAACGTTTGAACATTTAAACTTTGAAACGCGAAATTCAGTCCACAATGAGAGAAGTCCACGGAGTTCGTCGAACCTGTAGATATCATCTGCAAGAAATCGCCTCAGCTTTTGTTTGATGCCGCGACAATATGTTTATTCGCAAAGACAGTCTTCCCAGAAATTCGAGTAACGGGCGATCCATCATCATGGGAAGGCGCTTCAGCGGGATCGCCAGCGGAGAGATCTCCCAGGAAAGGTGCTAATACGATTGACACATAGGAGGAACGAAATGAGAAGGCTCGAAGGGGGGTACCAGAGCGATTACGCCAGATAATGATATGCGGGAGTTTCTGAGGCTGATTAGAGCGGGGAGAGCACCTCAGAGCAAAAGAACGGCAGGAGGCCCACAGAAAGATGATGACGGACGGGACCAAGAGGGCCAGTCAGGGGCTTGGACCACCAGTCGGTCGTCTGCCGTGCCGGAACTCCTAAACGGGGAAATATCCCGGCGTTGGATCAACCGTCCCCTGTTTGTCCGTTCACATCCACCACCATCCTCATTCTGTCTTCAACTTGCTCTCGCTGCGAACGGACTCCTCGTGCACTACGGCCCTCTTTACACCGAGCCACCCTCACCATGGTTCCTTTTGGCACGCTTAGATACCTACCTTCGGCATCAGAGAGTGCCGGTCCTTCCGCTCGCGTAGATGAGGCTACCGAGTTTCGTTCGCTACTTTTTTGTCTACAAGGACCTGCATAGAATTCTCGTGCGAGGCGCCCGCGTCTCTCGGCACCATGCCATCGTCGACACGATTGCGGACGAATGGTGACGATCGAGTGACGGCGCAATTACGCAGCGCACAGACCATTCTGACCTATTCTACTTTGAATATACCCCCTTCATGCCTTCATAATCTCGTCTGAACACCCTTAAAGACCCTACTGGACGCTCCACCTTGCGAAATCTCAAAAAGAAAATTTGCCTTTGAGTCGTATAATCGCGAACCTCGAATCAACAATGTCCCAAGATCCAAGGCCAACGCGAAGAATATATCCACCTATAGAGAGAGCTGCTACTGCAGATGAAGCACAGAGGTCCAAGGCCACGATTCACTTGGTTGATCGGCCATTGTGGTGCGTAATTCTTCTATTTATTAGTCTAGATCCCTCATGAAAACGATCTTCTTTAGATAACGCAGTGCCCCCAGCCCGTTGCCGCGGTTGTTGCATTGACCTGCTGGAAGACGTACTCATTATCTGGAAGCCACTGTTTCAGGTGAATGGCTTCACCTGGTCGAATGTCGAACATGCTACCCCAAGCGCCGTTGTCCGCGCACAGGTGTGACCTATTCGATATCCACCTTCCCAAGTTTACGTTCCAAAGAATTCCTTAGCCTACAGCGCTAGCAGCGGGTGGAGATGAGACCAAAGGTCGTAGCGATTGATCATTATAAGTAGTGAGTATTTCTTCGATTTTTTCCCCTACACCTTCTAAATTCGTGCTTTGTAAGTAGTCGTCGTAGATCATCCCTCCGAGGCCTCAATTTTGCCCAGCTGACGATTCCTCTTCAGCTCATAATCCACGATCCGAGTCTGTTAGCGGAACATTTTACGCTGACGATACCTCGAGATCTCATCTAGCGCCAACACGCGTTTACGTTTCTGGTTCTTGCGATTGCCACGAGTTTTTTATTGGACATCCTACTTGAATGCGTCAGTAGTACGTAGCCTCTCTCCAGTGCTCTGTCTCCTCAATACGGAGGCGTGTGAGGTGGTGCGAAAGACTTTAGGTGATCATGAGTGATGACGTCTCAGGGTCGCTGCGTGTGCTAACATCAAAAAGGTAGTCCTTCGTGCTGTTGTCATAGTCTTACCACAAAATAGTAGTCTTCAACTCATTGGCAAATTTCAAGATGGTGCAAGACTTTCACTTCCCGTCTGGCTAGCGACGTCGGCCTTGGAACAACAGGCAGTGACAGAGACCATTAAATCACGTGATACCCACATCCAGATAAAACAGGATAAAACGCGCACTGCATCGTGCACGACCTTTTGTTCCTTAATCCCCACCTACTATGTCCCATAATCGCACAGATCCTATCGAGAGCACGACCTCTCAAAGCTACGTTGAACTGTACTCGGATCTTCAAGAGCAGTCCAGACAAGTAGCAGAGGCCACGGAACTCAACCTGCTCGTCGAGCGGGCGAAGCAGATCATCGCCGATTTCTCCACCCGCGAAGAGAGGATCTTCACGTTCTGCAAGGAGACTCTATCACTCGATAAGGTTGCAGAATCCATGCTGGAACATGCTCCAGCTGTTGCAGGCAACGACAGCGTCACATATGTTGCTTCAAGGATCGTGGCCTGCGAAGGCAACATTACCAACCTGGTGGCAGTGACGTTGACATGGGTGACACATTTTCTATTCATCAGTGAGTGCGCCGTATTTCACGTCGAACCGTATTCTGATTCTGCTAGTGAGAGCAAATTATGGACACGGCAAGCAACCCAACCTCCCAAGCCCCATCGCCACACCCACGATGGAGACTACGGCGCAATACATCCTGGATGGGCACAGGAATCGAACCGGCAGTCTCAGAGACGACGTGGGTATTCATTCCTGCTATATGCCTGAAAATGTGCGCTCATTGGAACCCGTTCAATAGCTCCTTCTTCGTGATGGCTATAAGTGCGTCGTGACTGGTTTCGCAGATATAGCCCATCCGGACGGTGGAGAACTTATCTTGGAATGCACTCACATCCTGCGTCATGCTCTTGGTCACTTTGACAAAGATAGTGTGAGTTTTTATTCCGATACTTTGTTTATATGTATGCTAATCGCAAGCAGCACAAATCCGCGGTAGCTATATTTGACATCCTTGTCAACTTTGGTCGCCTGAAGTTAGATGACCTGGAAGACTTCAAGCTGCTTCTCGATCAACCATCCAATGCCTTTATGCAGGAACCGAACGTACATGCCTCGTTTGATAGGTTCTGGTGGTGCCTCCATCCAACAGAGGTTCGTTCGGCCGCTTCCAGCACAGATATCTCGTGCTGACCTCGTCACCTCGTGGGTTTTAGGAAGAAAATAAATATAAATTCAAGTTCTACAGGGATAAGATGGTGCTTTTCAGATTTCGGCCCGACCTTGCCTCCAACCCTTACATCACCTTCCGGGACCATAGCAAAGATCACACCACCGAGAACAGCAAGAAAAGGGAGACAGCATCAATAGCTCTCCCCGACCCGCGATTTCTCGCCATACATGCTGCCGTCGCTGGCGTCCTGCATATGAGCGGCGCAGGTCAGTTTTTTGACGAACTTCTCGACAAATTCAACGACACCGAGGGAAGTACCCCGGTTCGAACCTGGGACGACCTGGAGCATAGGATAAATTTGGGTGAGGCGAGGATCTCGGCTGGGCAGATACTCATAGCCGTCAGAGGGGGAGGTTCGGCGTACTCGTAACATCGCAAACCTCTTCTGTCTGTCAATGATTGCTCCAGCCCTGTCGAAATAGTCTGTGGTGAGTAGGCCATGCTTCGGAGAAGTGGCAGGAACGTCGGAACATTGATGTCGTGTGACGGTCGTTGGAGCCCACAATCGAAGGCATGGACCCGGAAGAGTTGAGCAACGAGTTCACGATCTGGAGGCCATTGCCACCAATCTTTGCAATAAGCTGTGAACATACCGCTACTATGATGGTCAGCATCCGGCTAGATGTACGAGCTTGCCATCCTCGCCAATGCCCTGTGAAATTAATATTTCGAGCGACGGCAAGATAGATGCCATCATGAGCCACAGGAATTCTCGCCCAAGGCGACATTAAACAGCCCAAATCTCTGTTCAAATTCGTCTTGATAGATTTATAAGACGAAGAGTGTTATTGACACAGGCCTGCACTCACCTCTCCTATAACAAACTCCTGCCATCCCGCATCCACTCTGTCTGATGGCCCAAAACACGAATGCTGGAGGAAAAAAAAGTTGGTTCATGATGGACTGGAACACTCTCAGGGGAAACCGAAGGGAAACTACCGTCTCTCGTAAGCGAAGTTAAGGGGCGTAGCAGTCCTGAACCATGTGAGGTGAGGTGCAACCCAATACGGTCCGTTGCTGAACACTGGGGTCTCAAGTGTGATGTCAACAACACCGGGGTCGGGTCAAGCAATGAGTAAGCATGTTCCGCGGGCAATAAATCGAGAGCGGTGTCCTTCCGCTATAAACGAGAGGAAGGACCAAATCATACGCTCAGAAAACGTGATTAGCCCGTCTGAGAGAGACGAGAGCGAGAGAGCACAGCACGTCCCACATGAATAATCCCGGCGACCGCCCTACTCCACATCCTAAACGCCAGACAGCGGAACGAGCTACGCGGAAAACAAGCCACGAGCACTGAGCACGCTATCGAGGCACGAGAAGTGGTGAGGGCGGTCGCGGAAACATACTAGGTAGCGTGAGGGCGCCGCAGGTGGGAGGCAGTTATAGAGAAAGCGATTATGTAAACGCGGCCAATCGTAGAAGAGGAATGGGTTGGGTGCAAATAAAGCGGCGAGCGTACCACATCGATTGAAGTGCATACATCGAAGGACTTGTGCCAAAGAAAAAAGCTCGAGGATGCTAAGAAAGGCCAAGATCCTCGGCTGGTGTCCGCCGCAGATGTCTACGAAAATGGGTAAATGTCGTACTACTACCCTCGTTCGTGACGTGGATCGAAACTTACCGTCTCTGCGCCGACTAGCCCGCCCGACGACGACATCGACGATGGCGAATGAGGTCGCTCTCAAGCTAGAAATGAGTCGGTGTATTCAATAGGTATTATAATAGTGGATGATGACGGCGTGAACTTACCACCTCGTAGAGTAGAAGGCAACATCTGCCGTGGATGACGTCGGCGATATGCGTGTGTTGGGCACAAGCTCTTCGTAGGAAGACGATATCGCTGCCGCGTACAGGTGGGCAAAGACGGAAATCAAGCCGAGGTACAAACTGAATGAGTGTGAACAGTAAGCCTTGTCTCATTCTCTGGGGTGTTGTAGGACCTTGATACCAACGAACCCCGAGGCCGAAGACTACGTCACCAGGCCAAACTCGCATCCAAAACCATCGACCATCATCGTAGGTGCCTGCAGCAAACAATGAGTCCAACATCACAGTTTGCAATGCAGAAGATCATCGATCAATTCCCACCTTCAAAAGTGCCTCTCCTCCCTCTCCACATGCCGCCATGACAGAATTTCCGGAACGCTGCTTATGCTTGAGGAGAGCCTCGAGTCCGTCGTGCATCCTACGAGGACGACGAAGGCTTGGGTAGCCCGAACGGTGACGGTGACGGTGTCGATAGATGAGGAGCGGCGTAAAAAGATGGTGAATGGCCCGGGGGGACGGCGATGCAGCTGAGGGCTTCTACGAGACGTGAGCAATTAAAGTCGCCGGCATTGTCTACGCCGGCGCCTGTGACCTACAGCTGAGATCTCTCGCCTCAAACACCGCCTGGCCAAATCCTTGCATCCATATAATATCCAACCTCCAACCTCCAACCTCCAACCTCCAGCCCTTCCAAACACCGCCCTGCACCCACCCGGGCCATCGTCGTCAAAGAACGCGTTCCAGGGCCAACCTTCGACGCTCGCTGGCGCTGTGCTCGACCATTTCCGCCCATTTGGCATTCGCAGGCTGCCGCTGCGAATACGGGTACTAGTAAGTCGTCGGTATCGATGTTCGAGAGAGCGACCTACTCACCTTTAGGCTTTCGTCGAACGCACAGCACTCCCGACTCCCGCGTTACCCTCAGCGCGAGCCGCTGCCACCAGCCCATCCCAACCAGATTTAGGACCCGAACCTCAGCTTTCTTCGTGTTATCTCTGTTGTGAGGCTGATACGTGCTCGATGCGCTGGTACTGACTTTCCGATAGCTAGATGTATGGTCTGGGTGCTACGAACGATGATAAGTTAGCGTCCTACTCGTTAAGGGCGATAAGACGTACATTAACTTCTCGCTTCGCATCCTGCATCACGGACACATAGCCCTCGGGCCTCCGCCCCCGCCAACGAGCTCGAAACGAAGGCATATGCTGGTCGGATACGTGTTGTCCTTCATCATGATCCTCGTGTTCCCAGAAAAGCCTATGTTCGTTCACTAGGAAGAAGGTCAGCACATCGTGCTCCATGACTCGAAGAAGACGTACGACAGACCCATGTTTCCACCTCGTCCATCCAACCACAATTCACGCCGTCGTCTGATTGGGTAGAAGGACGGGACGGCTTGACTAATGGGTGGCGGCTGTTGTATGACGCATGCATATAGACGACGAAGAGTATTGTCGTTGTTCGGTTTCACGGGGAAGACAGTGTAGCTATATCAAAAGTGAGTACGTTCTCTCCAACGAGAAACGGAGTTACTGACCTATTCATGCACCCTGTTCATGCCGTCCACCTCCTCGTGTCGATGTATGTCGCAGTTCTCTATTCAGTGTGCGTGAGCCCCATCGAGAACGGTGGCGAGAAGCGAGAGGAGGAGTTCGATAGCGTCGTTGAGGGCGCAGAGGGTCCGGCATGGATGGATACAGCGGCTGTGGCGGCTTCGGCACAGTGTATGCGGGAGAGTGTGTGGATACGCATACGAGAGGGGTCCAGCGAGATCAAGGGATACCGATCGTTCAACTTCAGCAGCGGTCCCGAGCTAGGGCACGAGCTGGAGTTAGAGTTCGATGTCGAGGATGGGGGCCGGAACGCGGATCCGAGCTGAAGTTGAAGCTGAAGAACGACATTTGGGGTTCGCATTTGGGGTTCGGATGGATGTTAGGGCAGAAGAGAAGAGGGCTGTTGGTTCGATCGTGCAGGAGTTGTGGGCGTGTTCGGGGGTGTCTGTTGAGTCAGGCCATCTTGGGCGGCACCGAGGAGGTGCGATCGAAAGGATAGAGGGAGATGTGGATGTGGCTGGGGGTGTACTAGGGCAGCACGAAGGAGAGAGATAATGGTGAGTGTGCTTCCATGTTGGGAGGCAGAGAAAGCTGAACGCACATTTGGAAGACTCGTCTCTACCGAGTCGGAGAAAGCTCCCGCCTTCGAACTCACTCCAAAACTTGATGAGAGGAGGACATGCGAGTGCGGCGGGTGCTAGGTCGGACGGCGAGGTTACAGAAGAGGGTGTTGACTCGGTCGTGCTGCAGCTGCAGAAATGTTGCGTGATGACTTGAGCATTTACACGGATGAGAGGATGGGAAGGGGAGCAGGACACGGACTAGCGTGAGTGGGCGATGAACAGAAGAAGAGTAACACAACGTCACGTCGAATGTGCTACTCGCGGGACTTGAAACTTCTTGAACACCAACTCTCCCCACATTATTTTTCCTGAGGCCGGTCCAACGATTCCTTCTGTATTTCTTCTCCTATTTCTTCTCTCATGTACAGCCTTTCAGAAATGTCCTTGGCGGGCTCTTGGACTCAACGGCTATACAACATCCTTCGTCCGGCACCACACCCGTTCACTACACTCTTCAAGAACAGCCCCAATACTTCCAAACGTCCTCCAGGGGCTCTTTATCGCCGAATATTAGCAAAGAGCATCGAAGAAGACTTGGCGGGTCCGATGAATCGCCCTGGAACTCGACGGCGTTTCGTACGGATCGAGAGCATGGGGCGCATTGGGCTCTTGTTCTACGAAACTCTGGTGCCTCCTTCAACTCTTAGCACTGCTAAGGACTCGTATTTCTTGACTTTCGAAGGTGTCATGGGCAAGCCCCACGATATGTGCGCCTTAGGGCTGGACTTATCGGACACCGTCAACGGGAGAGTGGTCTACTTTCCCCCCTACGCGTGTACGTCGTCCCTAGTGAGTCGAATCGTACCTTTCCGGAACGTCAGAAGATTTCTTACGCGCTCGCACTAGGCGGGTCAGGCCATGCACACCTCTTTGCTCAACCGCTCCGAGCCTCGACCTCAACCCTCTCTTGACGGATTTCCAGTGCTACTTTCCGCAGACGCTGGATATCGATCATCTACAGTTCACAAACAAAAAGTAAACAACACGCAACAGGCCTTCTGGATCCTCCAACTCGACGACTTCCTTGACGAAGACGAAGAGCACCGCGTCACAGATCTATTGACATCCTTTTCCTCCAGCGACCTCTCTCCGATGCTCTCTCTTGACGATTCAGACGCCGAATTCGACCCCCACTTCTCCCTCTTCGTCCCTCAAGCAGCTTTACCATCTATATCAAAATCTTCAGAGCAATCTCCGCACCGGCGCTCCTCGTCTAGCTTGAACGGCCGCTATTACTACGCGGATTCAGAAGAAGACCTGGGCGATAGCTCTCTGGGGACTATCAAGTCGGTTGGTCTGTTCACCCCTCCTCCGATGGGCACGTCAGCTGGTATTACTCTTGCCACCAACGACGTCCATAGGCATAGAGAATCTGCGGTGGATGCGGATCGCCTCTCTTTCCTGGACTTGTCTCACGAGGACGGCGACATCAGCTGCACTGAGCAGATAACCAACATCGGATTTGGTGTCAAAATCTATTAGATCGTCTGAACGGCCGGATAGTTTCTCAGATTATCTATACTCTATACCCTGTCCCCCAGCTAGCCATCTATCTACCGATTACCCTACTTTGACACTCCTTTATGAGATGCGGCGATTTACACGATTCGCCAGCTGCATACGCTCTGACCTGGACGCTCGTACTGACCATTCCCACCCAGATCACGCTCTTCGTCTGCATCTCTGGTGCATTTCGCGGGCCACTAATGGCTAAGCAGCGAAATAAGATAAGATGGACCACAAAAAGCCAGAGATACTTACATAACTACCTCTTTGGCAATCACGAATGACGAATCTGATCTTCCTCTGACCCCGGGTGTAAGTACGAACTGACTACATCTGACAGTATCTCCAGCTTAAATACAACGACACAGTCAAAACACGCATCACTCACTTGCTCATGCAGGACCGCCACCTCTTCAAGAGTCCCCACGCAGCCTACCCTGCCCCCGACACAGAGCTCGAATCGTCACCTCCCACTCCCACTCCCACTCCCACTCAGACACGGTGCAAATCAACAACTGTACGTACTCTACTCAGACATATGCGCCGATGAGCAGCCAAAGACTTACTTTACAGGGACTTCGAATTCCCCACCCAGCCGCCCCAGGGTTACCACCCTTCGCTAGTCATCCTTGCGGATTTGTGCACCCCAATCGATATCGTTAGCTCGGACGAGCAGCAGGGCAGCCATGGTTTGGCCTCTCAACGTCAACACCGAAAGCAGGCCAGTAGCAGGTGGACACCTAATATACGGGTTAAGACTCAGAGATCGAGCGGGCCAACCATCTCCGACGACCAATTTAAACGAAAGACAACCGAATAAGAATTGCACGTGTAACTTGAACATTCCTCGAGAAACGAGGGACACAACCGCAGACCAACTGCCGGTATAAGCAGACCTATGTAATCTGGAGGGAGATTCGATAACTCGTGGCTCGCATCCAGCAGTGGGTCAGATATCAGATATCCCGATTTCGAGAAAGAATGATGAACACGATGTTCGAACGAGTTTAGAGAGCCTACAGTGTCAGTAATATATTATTGTTTTCCATCCGAAACGACGGCCGTGTCTTCTGTTTCCGCGATTTGGAGGCCGGAACGAGTGGAGAGATCTGCTCGGCGCACAGCGAGCAGCCCAAATTTGTGTGCAAGGGTATAGCAAGTCTTTCGAGTTTGAGCGACGAAAAGAGGTAAGGATCCTCTCTTCTCTAGGTGTATACCTTGACTTACCTCGATGGCACTCAACCATCGTACCCAAGCGTACACTGTCATGCGACACAGACTTACGTTCAAGGGGGGCCAGATCTTTGTGTCAAATGGTGAGTTCAATTTCGTGCTTTGCAATGTAGGACAGCACTGACCATATCAAAATTACGAGGGGATAACGACACGAACGAAGAGGGACGGCGATTCGAGGAGTACGAAGTGGAGGAGTGCGAAAGAATTCCGGTGAGTTTTTTCTCATTCTCAGGGCTGCATGCTTTGACTTACGGCCACTATCCCCTTCCTCGAACACAGCCCATGACCTCAGTCAATCCATTTCCAGCCCCTAGTCTCCCTCCGAACCATGTCTGCCGTTAGCGTTTCCGGAGGGCAGCGGTACTTGCTCTTCGGGCTCAAGACAGCTTTTTCGCTGTCACTGACGCGTTCTGCAGCTGTACAAACGTAGGTAAGTCATTCTTCACGTTCGAGATTGCGCAGTCTTACCTTTCGACCAACCGGTCCCACAGCACTCCGTCGTGATTTGTTGCGCTCAGCGCAGTGGCCTGCTCATCTTAACTCCATTCAGAACCAGAGCCTCAACTTTCTTCGCGTCGTGTATGCGGCGTTGGAGGTCGTATGCAGACGAGGTCTCAGTGTTTCGTGGGCTGACGACGGATGGGGCTCGACGCTGGTATGTACTTGCATAGCTCGACGTAAACCCTGACTTTCGATGCGTTGACGCGGAGTCTGAGGGCGAACGTAAGTGTCAATCATTCGTCGTAGTCTTCGAAGAGTGATATGACTGACGTGTGCCCTCTGCTATCCGACCACCACCACAAACCCTCCATCGTTCCCAACTCGCTCGAAGAAAGCACCTCTAAACCATCCACCTGCGCTACCGCCTCTCCTCCACCATCTTCGGCATTTTCCCAAAGCAGAGCCCACTTTCGTTGGCGAGAAAGAAGGTTAGCACGTTTTCCTCGATGACTCGAAGAATACCGATGGCTGACCCGTGCATCCACATCCACCATCCGGCCCAGTTTGGCGCCGTTCGTCGCAACCTCGTCGTCTGAGGGTTAGATAGAGTGGACCGAACGATGAATCGGTGGAGGCTGTCGTACGACGCAGGCACATGGGCGACGGGGAGGAGGCTGTTTTCATATTGTTCGGCTTCAGAGGGGTGATGGTTCGGCCGTACCATAAATTGGTATGCTCCCATCGCTCTCATCGAGAAGATTGCTTACCTATCTACCCTCCCAGCTCACGTCATCCACCTTCGCCATCATGTTGGTATGGCGGAGTCCTCGATTTTGTAGACGTGGAGAACATTGAGGATGCCGGCAAGGAAGAGCGTCCGAGTTTGAAGGTGACGTTGAGGGTACAGATGAGGATCCGGAAGGGAGAGAGGACTGCTGGGGCAGCGCATGGAAAAGAGGGGGTGCGGGCAGGCGAGAAAGAATTGATCCGAGCGAAGAGCGGACGTGTCCGGGCGCGTACGTTGGGTAAGACGATGTATAAAGGTTTCGAGTGGTGAGGACGAAAAGAATTGTTGCATTGCGGCAGAGAGACAGACACACAAGAAGCGCGTACCGTATGCGTGAGTTGCAACTTACCGACCAAGCCGGTGGCGTGTGAAAATAAAGATAAGATAAGACGATCAGCTGATTATCACTCGCACTTCATCGTCGCCGGTCGGCTCCCTCTCTTGCCTCTTGCCTCTTGCTCTATGTCAGTTCCGATTTCCTCACACACATTTCTCAACGCTGCCAATTTATGTGTCGTCAAGTTTCCCATGGAGGGCTCTGAGAGGTGCGCTACCTCCGTAATCCGTCATCACGTCTCCTCATATCCGGGATCCCTTTAACGTTCAGACGAGCGGCGCCCGCAGCCAAGATTAACCCTCCTCGGTAGCTCGTTCATCTTGGAATTCGTAGTCCAGAGAAATCATAGGAAAATGTGGTATAAAGGTGCGGGCGAATGAAACATGTGGTTCAGCCCATCGATTGACTGCAATCCCACTTGATCCTTATTGATCATCAGTCCATTATCGTCCCAGTAAGCGTCTTTTCCGTGTTCGGGCCTGTGTCCCCCAGTGGTGTATTTAACCAACGCCCTGTCCAGAGTTTACGGCTATTCGTTCGTCGTCTCGGAGCTCCAGGGTGTATTTGGAAATGGAACATAGCGACTCGAAAAGCGCATCTTTACATCATACGTCTTCCGTCATTCTGAATTCTGGAAACCAGACATCGCCACCTCCACGCTCGTTGGGGTGTCTACTAACTCGTACATCCAGGGCGTGTCCGAATATGCACGTCCGCAGTACGAGTTGTCGACCACGGCCCACTCATCCAGCAACATGGAGGTGAACTTGATTTGGCATCCCCTTCGAGTGTACGTCTATGAACGGAGTTGTTCCTGGGCCTGTACACACCACGACGGCATACCCTTACACATTCTTACCCTTGGAATTTTCGTCTCGCAGCCTCCGCAGAGCTGGCGCACATCTACACCTACTCATGTCATTTCTTCCTTTATGTACTCTGATCGGCGGGGCATTTAGATGCTTACCTCGCACAGGAGACGTACACATATGTGGTAAGATCAAATGGCCATGAGGAGGTGTACGTAGCTCCCCCCTGCTCGCCATCTGACCACGGTCTCATCCTGATTTTCCCTCATATCAACTTGGTCTCTCTGAGATCTTTGCACATCCCACGCATTAAATTTCATTCCTCCCTTAAATTCTGATACGAGAAGCACGCTTCCGCTTCTTGGTTTCTTGTCCTGTGCTGGACATTGTACGTGTGGAGTCTGCAACGGGGGCTGGGATAATGGATCATCGATCAGCGCCCAGCGCCCAGCGCTCAGCACGTAGGAGACGAATGCAGAAGAATATACGAAGACCTCTTGTCTAGCCTATCTTACTTTATTGCGTTATGCTGGCAATTTTGGGTTTTTGAGTCGATTTGAACATCCAGCCGGCCTCTTTTCTAACAAATCGGCACTTCGCAGGCCGTGCGTCTACCTCCACCTGCGCTGATGAGTTGTAGGTATTTTTATACCCTGCCTGATTTTCTCCGCTGAACGGCGAGCCTAAGAATACGCGTCGCATGCTACCCGTCCTTCAAATAATCAACGTAGTCTGGTAGACGCCAAACTTGCAACTGTATAGAAGCATACGTAGCAAGACCGTATGTAGATCTTTTAGACCACGAACGAAGTTTTGGGCTCGCTATGGGGTCCTTGATGACGGTGTTGATGCGGAAGGTGAGCTACGTGAAGTAGATTATTATTTATTGCTTGAGGAAAGGTTGTAGTGGTGACATAGAGTAGATAGGAGGGTCGAAGATGAGAGAGATACGCCACAGATAAAATTTGGAGGAGGGTCCGCGCCGTTTGGCATCACAGTATCACGTGCTCCGTGACATGGGCGCGTCCTCTGTAAAACGATGACACCGTTTCAACATTCATTTACTCCTTCACCCGAGGCCAACATCTTCATTTTATGTAAAGGTGGTCTATTGTATCACTGTTGGGTACTTTCTCTTGTACCGTGTATTCAAGTACCTCATGTCATTTCGTTCACAGAAATCCGATGCTACCCTGTCGCTAGTGCGGAGTCGAAGACCGCCTCGATTTGCGCGATGTTCCCGTCAATGAGTGCAGATTGCTCGAAGGATCAATGTGCGACTCTTGTGCCACCATCGCTGAGCTCGATGTAGAGATCGAGGCCACGAAAGAGAAGCTTGCCCGTCTGTTCAGAAAGCGCTTCAACCTCAAGACCGAGCGAAACATTAAACATGACTCCTTTACTTGTCTACCTACGGAGGTAATTTCTCGGATATTCGCCATCTGCCTTCCAGAGGAGCCGTATCCATTAGTCCGTTGGGGATACCCCAATCCCTTGTTTGAAGAGTTACCAATCGCGCTACTGCTCAGATCAGTCTCAACCCAATGGCGTCAAATTTCGGAATCTACACCCCAACTTTGGACTTACATCAAGATCAGGATCGATGACTCCAACTCTGTGGAGTCGGCGAAGCGATTTCGACAGTGGCTCAGTCGTTCAGGGAACCTCCCGGTTTCAATCAGGATCTACATGAAGGCGAGCATAGACCTCGATTCCGAGCCGCTACCCGACAGCTTGACGCGCCCACTGATCAACGTTGTAAACAAGGTTTCTCATCGGTGGGGCATGCTCGAAGTGCATATGCCGGAAGTCCTCATAACAAGGCTTTGTGGCAACGGGTCCTCGACTACCACCCTCCACAGCCTTGGCCTGACCCCGAGCGAATGGACGCTGGGTGGCAGGGTCTCCACCAGATTTAGCATGAAGAACGTCCTGCCGACACCGAGCTCAATCGGCTTACGCAGCCTCCATTTGGACTCAATGGACGTGGATTGGACAAATCTCCTCTATATCGAAGGCTTCGGGTTCCGTTTGGACGAGTGCCTACTCGTCGTTCAACGGTGTCCACGTTTGCTGCGCTGCAGTTTCGAAGGCGTGGACAGGAGGGCCACTATTCGTCGGCATGACCGGGTGCACATCGTTCACAACTTTATTCGATGGTTATGGTTGGAGGATTGGGGCAACATAGCTGATTTCTTCGACAATGTTTCCTTCCCTTCCCTCGTCTATCTCGAATTCATGGCCAGCAATCTATCGTCTCGACCACTCGAGGTTGTCACTTCCTTCATCAGACGCTCAGGATGCTCCTTGGGGACACTCAGAATATCGGACGGTGATCTTCAAGAAGCACCCATCATCCCCCTCCTCGAAGCCACACCACAGCTCCGTACTCTCGATTTGTTCAACATCAAGCTCTCGGACACCTTGTTCTGCCACCTCGGCGAGACTGTCTCTGGCGTATACAACGGAGAGGACACCGCGTTCCTCCCGGACCTCAACTCCATTTATTTACATGGCGCCCTGACGTTCAGCTGGCCGTCGGTTGCCGCCATTTATACCCCTTGCGATACCGATGACAGCAGCAGTGTCCATCAACGCGAATGCTCTTTGAAGATCGTGTCATCAGAATATAGGACACCAATCCGTTTCATCGACGATGAGAATTCGGCCGTATTTCGGGAACTTATCCAAGAAGATGGTGTTGGTCTCAGTATTGTTGACTCTTCCCATCGCAATATAATCAAAGACCTTGAGTGAGTGGATACGCTTGACTGAACGGTACGTCTTTCCTTTTCATTTCACCATCTCCTTCGTGTTTGTGTTGGCGGTGCCTTCGTTCATGCATATGTATTCCAGGTCCAGGTCCAGCTAATGATGCCGATTTAGGTTTCTTCTGTAGTTCTTATTCAGGGCATCGCGGATGATTCGAGCATCCCCGATGAGATGGTATTCAAATTGTGGAACGACGACAAGGAGAACCAGGTTGTCATACTCTAGAACGCCAGAAGTCGTCAGTGTAAATCCACATGGAGATAGAATGGGCAATGTGAGGTGACTCACAACGCTGAGGTTCATGATCTCTGGAGGTCCATGAGGTACGCGAGGACGAACGCGGTGTTCGTCGGTCAAAACAGGGAGATTGAAAGAGAAATATACAGGAGAAGAAAGAACACTAGGCGCAGCGTCCAGCGGATAGTTCGAAAAGGGGACAGCAGTCAAGAAATAGGCGCGAGATAGCGATAGCGCAAGTTTCGTACAGGATTCGACAAGAAGTAACCTATGATCACCATGCATAAAACCAGAGCCAGGTGTGAATGGGGTGTGGTCTCAGTGTTTCTCATGAGAGATAGGTAGGTGCCACGAAGGAATACTTCGGCGGGCGTGAAGATGGAATGTAACGAAAGAGAGCGGTACCCTGCCCGGAACTTGGAAGATCGAGTCGGACGGAGACGGCGAAGAGAGATCAGTCTCTGAAATCACCAATGAGAAGCGTCTGGTCGCGAAGTTACTGTATCATTAACAACAATTTCAATCTCGAAGAAAGAAATACACCGTACAAGATAGCAAACAGAGGACCTCTCCGGATGAATCCCTCCTAGCAAGAGCCACCGAACGCGGACTCCGCGAAGGCAGCGGCATTGCGTGTCAATGTATGATCCTACATTCCCATGAAGCACGCTCCCAGGCGTCTGTGAGGGTTCGTCAGCACGAGGTTATTGAAAAAGAGAGGAACCTGAGAAGGATACCAGGCGCCGGGTGTAGTTCGAAAGTGAGAATAATAATCCAGCAGCCGAAACGAGATAGATAGAGCAGGGTCCCTACGGGTTTCGCACAGACACCGGCGTTAGCAAAGAAAAGTGAACTAAATGGAGAGCAGGGATGCAAACGGTCCTCGCTTTCAGACAGGCAACATAAAGAAAGAATTCAGCAAACGCCAAGGTGGAACCTAATGAGACGGTGGGTAAGTTCAACGTCGTCTTAGGTCTCCCAAACCAAAATTACCAACGAAAAGTCGCTGGTGGGATCTAGAAGTGATTGACGATGAGAAACGGTGAGAAGAAGTATTCCTCGAATGAAACACTGGAACGAAGCTCTAGTTGAATGTCATCTGGGTGAGAAACAGAATAGAAAAAGAAATGAGAAAGGCCAGTGCCGTGCATTGAAAAGTTGAAGATGGACCTCAATGAAGGCGAAGTCAGAGTGTCGACAAGACAAAACATCAAAAAGGTGCATACTCATCTACACCTCGAAGAAATGCGCGAACGAAAACTCGCTCATGGAAGGACAATACGTTCCAGAAACGCGTCTACGCGAAGAGCCAAACGCACAACTTCAACGAGACCGAACTCGGAGTCGAAGAGTATCGCTCAAAGACTGTGGGCGAGCGTATGAGAAGCCGTCAAACGAAGGACAAGAACCGAGAATGAACGAACGCGTCTGGCATGAGATAAAGAACGAAACGTGGAGGCGGAAGGCAAGAAGGAACGAGAAGGGACACCATGGCGTGAGAACGAAAAGAACCCATAAAGAAGAGCTAGAGACCACTCACTCACTTCTCTTCCAGCCCATAACTAGCCTCATCCATGATCCAGGCTTATCTGATCTAATCGTTCCGTCCGTGAGTTAGGCTCCTCGCTCTCTTCCTCCTTCCGTTCCAAATCTCAGCCCCATTTCCTCGTGCATCGTGCACTCCTCCAGCCATAGTGCACGAGCTCGAGCGCCTCTCCCACAACATAACTTGCAACAGGCTACAGCATGACGTTCGTCCTGTCCTGTCCTGTCCCGTCTCCCTCCTCCCTCGCCTGGCCACCCGTAGCCCCGCCCTGCCCGCCCGCCTATGCGCCCACTTGCACATCCACACACACCCCTCCGACGAGCTCCTCCCTCCCTCCGCACAAACCTCGCCTCCGGGCACCGCCAGCTCACGCCCTTGCCCCGTCCGGATCTCTCTCCCTCCCTCTCTCCATCGAGCGATCCACAACCGTAACGTGTACTAGACCCTACTTCCTCCGCCTCCCAAAAGCACATCGTACCCCTCCGATGATCGATCTGCTTCGACATCGCGCACTTCTAGCTGTCCCGAGACCCCATCCGCATGTCTCCAGTATGGCAATACTTGCAGAACGTCTCGTGTGTAGTTTTGGGTATCTGGGCGATGTCGTACGCTAATCTCACTGATGCTTGCTGGTCTCGCATGTATTGCCTTCCTCTCGTACTGTCGATAATTCGGGATACTTCATCATCATGAAGACCGTCGATCGTTCTCACCTATGACCGTATCCCACCTACAGACACCTCTTCATTTCTATCATCCATGTCTATCTCGAGCGCTGTACGCGCGAGAATCGTCGACATCTGATAATGAGATCGCTGGAGGACAGGTTTCCGTGCTCGGACCTTTTCTTCCCTCGACTCTCATAAAGAAGTTGTTCCAATCTCGTGCGTACACTCTTCCTCGGGCCAGCACCTTCCCTAGGTCCGCCCATTCTTCCAACTATCATCCGAATCGTGCATCCTGCCTCTATACCCGCCCAATTTGTAGCGTAACCCAACGCCCTTTCCGTCAATTAGCTACACCATCGCCCACATAGGGTGGTGAACGAGTGTCTCGTTGCCTATCCCCCCGTCCTCTTCCCCTCACTCCTCTCTCCACACTCCACTTCACGAAATCCTCGGCCCTTCAAGCTTCAAGCTTCGACACCCACCATCCCCAAATCACCTGATGAAACTTTCAGATTCGTGCTTTCGTGCGTGCGTGTCTTGTCAGTACGCACGCCGATTCTGATGAAACTATTCGTGTTTTCTGGAGATGGTAGGCGACGTCCGAGGTTAGTGTTCGACGATGTTTGGCGTTCAAATGGAGGATCTCCCATCATTTGGGATCCTACATTCGTGGATTCAGCAGGTGTTTGAATGTACTGTGTGTGAGGTCACAACATCTGCAATTTGGCTCGGCCTCATGAACCTCGTCGACCGCCATGTCGTCTGCTGTAAGATCTCAAACAGCGACATCACCTTCCCCAGTGACCCTTATTTTCAAGTTCGAATCTGTCAATCATTCTGAGATTCTCAGTCTCAAATTCGACTTCCTTCCCCAGATTCAGACTCTACCTCTCGCACCGCCTTATTTTTGTCCTTCCATTCGCACACCGCGACCCTCTTCTACATATTTATGTAACTAAATACCCAAGTACGCACCCCATTTCTTTCTTTCTTTCTTTCATGATCATATATATACATCAAAGTCAAAGTCATCCGACCCCCGTGGTCTCGACGGCGTCGCCTTTGAAGAACCGAATCTCTCACCCAGATGTTTGTCCCGAGTCATCATCTGGGTGAGAGTGAGAGGTTCGATTTTTTAAAGGCGACGCTGTTGGCAAGGACTGTTAGTGAAGGAGAAGGTGAAGGTGAAGGACTCGGGCTCGGACTCGGACTAACATCTGCGCGCCCTCCAACGGATCCAACTCCGACTCCTCCCTAGGTGGAAGGACCAACGACGTCGACCTCGACGGCAGGGATGGATGGATGGAAAGTACTAGTGAGGCTTTGAGAGTCGCCAAAAGAGGATGTATAAGCGAACGCGAGCACGGGGATGAACACAATGGGGAGGACGAGGTTCAGAAGATCGATTCAGATAGCAGAAGCTGAAAGGTGTCGAGGATAGAGCAAACAGACGGACGGCGGACGGCGGACGACGCGCCAGCGCACCAGAGTACGTGTACCTCCTATATGAACCCCACGCGTGCGCGTGTGCGTGAAAGGCAATGCTAAGGAGGGGCGTTGGACGTGGAAGCCTTGCGCCCGCGAACGAGATGGGGGGGGCACAACTCTGAATCGTGTCGACACTAGTACTGTGGAGATGTCAGTGGTGGATGGGAAGCGGGCGGCAGGCAGGCGAGCGTACGATCTGGGGTGGCAGGCGGGACTGACGAGCGCGATTCGAGTATGCAGGTAAGCGGGCGGGCGGGCGGGCGGGCAGGGCCGATGGAAGATGGGCATGGGCGGACGCTGCTAGTAACGCGACTCAGACTCAGAGGAGGTAGGAGTCCGAGTCCACGCGGGGCGGGGCAAAGGTTGGCGGGGTTGTCGGGCGGGGTGACAATGACGTAGACCCTTCTCACGACAGCCAGCTGGACCGGCCCGTAAGACCGAGAAGACCGAACGAATCAGAGCAGCGGGCTCAACGTCATCGATCATCGTCTCAACGTCATCCGTGTACTCTCAACACGACCACACCGACTCGTCCTCCTTTCTCTGTATCTGACGTGCAGTGCGTCAACCGAACCATGATTCGACGAGGATCGCCCGACGCGAGCCCTAATCTCCGCGTTGACATGATCTGAATCACCCGCACGCCCCGCCCCGCCCCGCCTCGACTTTCGTCTTCATCTTCATCTTCGTCTTCCTCTCTGCGCTCTGGTATCTGTACGCGACGGCCTCGTGCGCGCCCTCACTCTGCCCGCCGTCTCCATCGGTGCTGCACGTATCAGACCCCGAGGGCCGACAGGCTTTCATCTGTCCCCAAGCCCGGACCTGCGCATAAGAGTGTTCGATGTGTTGTCAGATACCCTCGGGATTTCCGCCCCAATCGTCAAACAATCACCGGTAACCGGTAACCTGTGGAGGTCCGAAGAGGGAGCTGGGGCTGCGTTGAGCATCTCGTTGGATGAGAGGGACGGCGGTTGCGAAGGTGAGGGTGAAGGTGAAGGTGAAGGTGAAGGTGAGTTAGTCACCGTCTTTCTTCTTTCATTTCTCGCACCTCCCCTCGTTCTTTCTCTCCATTATCATCTCGAACCTCCTATGAATCTAATGTCTGCAGCTCTCCGTCTCCCACATTTTGGAATTCCACCGTCTCATCATCGAGTACGGCACGCGTCCTCGCCTTCTAGTAATACATATACTCCTTCCTTCACCTCTTCAGCTTCATCTCTTCATCCCATGCCCATATGATACCAACCCCCTCCGCTCTTCCTCCTAGACTCCATCCTTCCCAACTCTGCTCACCATTCCCCCCGTCCCTAGCGTCGACGCTGTCTCGATCCCAACACCCTCGATCCCACAACCTCATTGGCCACCTATCACCCCCTTTTACCACCCATCCCCGTCTCTCTCTTCCACTTTCGTCCTTCCGGTAAGCCCTATTTATCCACCCCTTTCAGTAACACGCGCCACAGCTTCATCCAACGTTGTCCTCCACATCACCCACATCGACGGCGGCCTAGCCCAGTATTCTACTCTATGGCCGTCCTAGAGTCACGCAGGCTGGCGCTGAAGCTGAAATTAATACGAACACTTGAAGTACTCTACCTAGCGATCGCCACCGTACCCCGAACTACGTCCCCACGGATCATCTTCGATCATGCGCCAACGAAGACGACGCTGGGAAAACGTCGAATGGATGACGGGGTCCATGGCCATGGCTAATTTCGACTTCCGATTTTCATCCATCAAATACGCGGTCTTAGGCAGGAACGGAGAGAAGGTTGTGGGTGCTCTCGACTCGAAGCTACACCTCACCGCGGTGAAAAGCTCAAACATTGGACCGTCCGTACGTCGTGATCGTATTTCGTCTCTCTTTCCTCTTCTACGCTTTTTCGCCCTTCTTCGCTCCTCGTCTGATTCCGATCTGACTCTTCGACAGAACCCTCCTCATACTCGTACTCGTACGCCCTCCTCCTTTTCTCCCCTCTTACTCTCTCCTCCGTTCGTTTGGGCTCCTTTTTCTTTCCGCGCCGCCAATCTCGAACTTTCAAACTCCCATCTTCCAGCCCTTCCCCAGACCCATTATTCCCGTTATTCCCATTTCCTCTCGCTCTCGGGCAAAACCGCCCCTAACATTCGCGAGTCCACAACCAGCCAACACCGCCCTTCCCGTCAGTCTCGCCTCTGCTCTACGCTCAATTAGTAACCATTCTGACACGCTCTTGTCAGTCTGGATCCAGGTGTAGAGTTAATTGCCAACTCGATAGCGGGGATGGCGGTGATGGTCTTGGATCCGGACCCTGGTTCGACGCCCGAGGAGGGTACTTCACTCGCTCGCTCGTCGTTCGATTTCGATTTCACTTTCAAGTTCAAGTGGAGATGTGTGCTGGTGGTTGTTCGTGTCGTGTTTCGTTGGATATCAATCTTTCCATCTTTCATTTGATTATTTCTTTCTTTCTTTCTTTCTTTGTGTTTTTCTTTGTCAGTCTCGTCCCCGACGACTCAACTTTCTGGACGGGACATCGATTGATGTGCGACCGTCCCCCTCCATTTTCTCGGTGTCCGCCCACATCCGCATCCGCATCCGCATCCGCATTTCCTTCCTCCGATAACACGGAGATCTGACCTCCAACTTGAACTTTGTCCCTTCGCCTCTGACGGATCCGAATTTCACCTCGGTCGCTCAAGGGGGATGGATGGGTAGTGGTCGAGGGCGAGGGCGAGGGCGGATCCTTGGAGAGGCATCTGACATGGACTGAAAGGAAGGTCCGAAGGACACGTGGACCGTTGGGAGAGTTCAAGCCCGGGCTCGACGTCCGACGTCCAACGACGGAGGATACGGTGTTGTCCTCAGACGGTTACGAGATGGAGCGCAAGGCTAGCTGGCTAGCCCAAGCGGGATGAATAGATGAAATGATCATACTTCGCCTGCAAGTAGGTCGTGCCCTACCTCTCTTTCTCGCTCTTCCGCCCTTCGTCTGTTTGAATCCGACTCGTCGATTATCACAGTATTCGCATCCTGAATATTGAAGTCCTTGGATTCGGGGATAAGTATTGGCGGTACGTAGTCGGATCCCAAAATGAAACAATTATGTTTATTCTTCCTAATCTACTTATGAGTGATATGAAAAAAATAAAAAAATAAAAAAATAAAA